CCTTCCAGAGCTGTTTTGGGGGGCAGATATACTTAAAGTATTTTATATGACACCAACAGTAGGTGATGTTAATCAGCATGCTTTTTCAAAAGTGATTTTTAAAAAAATTCAGAGTATTTTAACATTTACTTGTACATATTTGTGAGGTATCAAAAGTGATTTTGGAGTGAACGGAATTCAATTGCAACTTATTTTAGAAGATATACATTGCCAATACTATGAACGTACTTTATAGGAAGTACTTTAATAACAAGTACACTGTATACAGGTGTGGTTTTAATGTCCGATTGAAGAACAATGCCAATCCTTTTCAAAAAGCCGACACCTCACAGGAACGGTCTCAGTACTGCCGGCTCTGCAAAGTATTATAAGCTCTTTGATGTTACATCATCATCATCACTTTACAGGTAAGGAAACAGGATCATAGACAAGCAACACACTTCAAATTGCACTATTAGTAAGTGGTGAAACTTGGAGCTGTCTCAGACCCCTTCTCCTTCGTAAAGACTAACTTTGTGTCTGATGCTGTAGTATTTGTAATGCTGTCAAGTTGGAAAAAAAAAGAGCATATGTACATTTATACAAACATTCTCATGTTCCAGGTATATTTTTCTTTAGTAATATTTTATTAATATGAGAAATATGTCATATAATTCAAAGGGAAAGAAATAAAAAATATATTTTAGTTAGGCCTGGATAAAATCCACAATGCCCAACTGTGAATTTGAACATTAATATCAATATCAATCTGAGAAACAGGATGAAATGCACAAAAGTAATGTGTAAATTCTGAGTACTTGGCATCGGCTGACAGTTAAAAGTGATGACAACATAACATATAAGTATCAGGGGAATGTTCAAATAACAGGAAAAAACTTAAAATTTATTAGGCCTTTTGTTTTAAAAAAAAAACCTTCAAAGTTAAAAAACATCAGATTTCATCCTGATATTAAAGTTGTGCTGATGTATGTGTCAAATACCTAAGCTCTGTCTGGCTACATGATAGAATTTCTTGAATCTGACAAATCAGAAATTGCGATTACGGCAGAGGCCACCTCACTTGTGCTTCATGTGCCAGTCAGAGATGTGAAAAGTAATAACGCTGGGGATAGAGGAAGAAGGCAGAGTGCGAGTGCACCTTTTCTGTGCCAGTGTTCTTCTCTACAGACTCTCTTTTCTAAGGCTCTCCTGATTTGGCTTGTTCATCACTTAATATATAACAATTCAATGTTTTATTTATTTATTTTTTGCAGCCGGCAGGTGTGGGGGTCTGAACCCATGACTTTGGTGTTATAACACCATACTCTAACCAACTGAGCAACTGGCCAGCCCTACAATATAATATTCTATATACAAAATATCCCATGCACTGAGATTTGAATTTTCTTTTACTAGAAAATTTTATGATGATTGCTACTTTATACATTTTTAAAGTTACCTTCCAGAAAATACCTCCTTCCTCAGCATCAAATATTGGCTTTGGATTTAGGTGAGCCTTTACTTGCTAACAACTCTACTATCCTAATATCTTTCTTTCATTCTAATTGGAACTGATAGGTTACCTTTCCTAAATTCCACTCATGTATAAATCCTATCTTAGTATTTGCAAAGCAGTTGATAAAAGAGATTCAAGTAAAATAAAAATATAGCTGTTAAAAAAGACAAAAACTGTACCATTCTTTTGTTTTTTAAAACCAGTTTTAAAATCGCAAATACAATACATGCTTGGATTTAAAAACTGCAAATATACAGAAAGGTGAAAAGTGAAATGTGAAAATTTCCTTTACCGAACTTCTAGTCCCATTCACTACAGCTGCATAGTCCAACGTGGAAGCTACTAGCTACATAGGGCTATTTAAATTAAAACTAAAATTTTAAAAATTCAGTTCTTCACACTAGCTGTATTTCACTCGCTCAACAACCACGCGGTGAGGTTATTTCACCAGGAGTGCAGATACAGGACGTTTCCATCACCACGGAAGCTCACTGGGCAGTGCTGCTCCGGTCACCCTAATTAAGCACTTGCATATAGTCCTTTATTAGACATACGATTTTTCAAAATGTTCCTCCCATTCTGTGGGTTGTCTTTTCACTTACTTAATGGTGCCCTTTAAGGTACAAAAGTTAATTTTAGTAAAGTCCCATATAACTACTTTTTTCCTGTTGCTTGTGCTTTTGGTGTTGTATCTAAGAAACCATTGCTTAGCCCAAGCTTACAAAGATTTAATTCTGTTTTCTTCTAAGATTTCTAGCTCTTATACTGGAGTCTATGATCCATTTTGAGTTAACATTTGTATGAGGTATGAGGTAGGAATCCTTTTGCATGTAGCTACCAGTCATCCCAGCACCATGCGTTGAAAAGACTACCCTTTCCCTACTGAACAGTGTTGCTGCCCCTGTTGAAAATCAACTGATCAGAATTGTGTGGTTTTATTTCTGGACTCTCAGTTCTATTCTTTTGATCTACATGTCCATCCTACACTGATGCACCTACACTGTCTTGATAGTTGTAGCTTTGTAGTAAGTTATGAAATTGTTACCAGTCAGTCCTCCAATTTTGTTCTTTTTCAAGTTTTGACTGTCTGGGTCCCTTGCAATTCCATATGAATTTTATCATCAGCTTGACATTTCTGCGAAAAATTGGGATTTTGATGGAATTGTGTTGAATCTGTAATTTTGGCACCACTGCCTTCCTAACAATGTCATGTCCTGGAATCCAATACATGAAAATGGAAGTCTTTCCATTTACAACTATTTACATCTTCTTTAATTTCTTGCAACAATGTTTTGTAGTTATATTTTATTCTTCTTGATGCTATTTTACATAGAATTTTCTTAAACTCATTACTCATTGCTAGTATGGAAATAAAACTGATTTTTAGATATTGATCTTGTATCCTGCAACCTGTTAAACTCATTTATTAGTTTTTAATGAATTCCTTAGGATTTTTTATATACAAGAATGTCAACTGTGAATACATATAGTTTTACTTCTTTTACAATATGGATAGTTTTTGTTTCTTCTTCCTGCCTAATTCCCTGGCTAGAACCCAAAGTATAATTCTGAACATAAGTGGTGATAGTGAACACCCTGTCTTATTCCTGATACTAAGGGGGAAAGCAATTGGTATTCAGTCTGTCACCACAAGTATGATGTTAGGTGTGGGTTTTTCATAAATGTTATGTTTATCATGTTGAGGAAGGTCCCTTTTATTTCTAGTTTGTTGGGCATTTTTAATCATAAAAAGGTTTTGGTTTTTATCAAGTGTTTTTTCTGCTTCTATCATGACAATCTATGTGGATTTTGTCCTTTATTAATATGGTATGGTTGATCCTCATTCACAATGACATATTTATGAATTTATCAACTTGCTAAAATTTATTTATAACCCTCAAACCAATATTCGTGGCACTTTTACAATCATTAGTATAATGACGTGCAGAACAGTGAAAAATTTGGGTCACTCAATATGCATGTTCCCAGCTGAGGTTGTTTCTGCTCTCGTAGATAGATGACCAGAGGACGGAGAAGGCAGAGGCCAGTTCAGTGTAGTATAAGAAGCTCTGGAGCCAGTTGAAAGGGGTTTGAATTCCAGCTGTGGCACCTTTTGGTGGGGTGGCCTCAGGCAAGTAACTTAATACTTCTAAACTTCATTTTTACTTTTCTGAGATAAAGAAAGTAGAATCTGCCAGGATGAGTTGTTTTTAGGATTCAAGCTCATAATCTACATAAGGTATGTATACGTGTGCACACACATAAACACTTTCCCTAGGAGCAATGGTTCAATATTCTCTAATTCAGTGTTTGTAGTGACTTTGTAGAACATAACTACTGTGAATAATGAGAAGTGACTATTAGCTTAATTGATTCTTGGATGTTAAGCGAACCTTGCATTCTTGGAATAAATCCCACTTGGTCACAGTGTATAATCCTTTTTATATGTTGCTGAATTCACTTTGTTAATATTTTGTTCATAATTTTGGTGTGAATAATTCTGGTATTCATTAGGGATACTGGTCTGTAGTTTTCTTGCGATAGCTTTGTCTGGTTTTGGTATCAGAGTAAGACGGGCCTCACAAGATGAGCTGGGAAGTGTTTGCTCCTCTTGTCTTTTTGGGAAGAGTCTGCAAATAACTGGTGTTAATTTTAATGTTTGGAGGAGTTCGGCAGTGAAGCCATCTGAGCCTGAAATTTTCTTTGTGGGACTTTTAAAATTACCAATTCAATCTTTTTCCTTGTTATTGCCAGTTGCCTTTATAACCTGCTTTTAAGTAGAACCAAAGGTGATAAGAAAATTATCTCCTAATGCCAACAAAATTGTAGAAGAACATACACATTATCAAAGAAGACACTTTCAATGTTTGGAAGATTCACATAAGCAGCTACCAAAATTTCTCAATTATATCTCTACTCTTGACCTCTGCTGTCCAGCATGAACATAGAGAAACATTTTGTGACTTCTCATGTGGTTTCATGACCTCATGCACAAGAATATTTCAGCCTGTTCTATATAAGATTTGTATGCAAATCTCTTAACTAACACTTGCAACAAAGTCCTATAGTCACAAACTAAAGTTTCTACATTCCTTGAGATAATTTACAGATATGCATATCTATATAATCTATATCTATATATATATATATAGTTCAATCTATCTACAAAAACAATATGTGTCTCAGACCCTGTCAGGAAGGCGGTGTGTAGTGGAAAAAATACTGGAATAGAAATCTGTAGGTCTCAGTTCTAGTGCCGGTTCTAACACAGACAAGATGCCTCAATCTGTTTTACCCACTAATAAAATCAGGTTAAGCCTGATGACCAGCAAGGTTCTTTCTGGTGCTAAATACACAATTACTTATTCTACAATAATGCCATTCCCATTGCTCTTACTTCAGAGTGGGCAAAATGAAAATATTTTTGTTACGTACATATAAACACACATACCCATACTTCATTCTTACAGAACACATTAACCAATTCACAAAATCTTAAAAGAGAAAAAAGAGGAAGAGGATGTCTGTGATTAAATAACATAATTCCAACATCTGAAAGTCCTGAGTTTGTTAGGAAACAGCTGCTACTAATTTCCCCTCTCTACATGTACATACTTGCCTTTTCACAAAGCCTCACTTTATGTAAGCACTATTTCACACCAGGCATCTAGTAATGATGCTCACTTTCAAAAACAGGGAGGTCAGTTTTCGGAAATCCTGAGCCTGTCAGAGAAACCGAATGGAATTTCATCAGTGGTCTCTACTGGCACATTGCTTCTACCAAACTGACATGAATAGTGGTGGGTGTGGTAACTTGAAATAAATGCATCTGGAGTCCGGCTGCAATGACAACTACCTGATGGCATAACACTATTTGAATTACCAAGATGTGAATGGTAAACAGCATGGAATGAGTCTTGAGATGAATGATAATGCCCTGCACCCCCTGAGGTGGCTGCAGAGCTCTGGTAAGGGCCATTAGACATAAGACAAGTTTGAAAGCAAGTCATCCTTCCCAAACCTCGATGAATGTCTAATTTAGCAATGAGAGGTTTCCCAACGTTCACTTCCTGCTTTTCCTCTACAGTGTCTTCCAATCCTGAGTACTGATATGACAAACATACTGTGAAGATTAGATGTTCCTGGAAAAGAAAAGAAATGAGGTTTATTATTTTTATCGACAGTGAAAATATATCAATCTTAAAATATTATTCACACACACATACATGACAAAAATCCACTCACTGCCTCCTTTGCCACCCCCTGCCTTTCTTCCCAAGGTCCAAATCTTCAGGGCATCTTTTCCTCTACGCTGAACTAAGAAAGGCCAGCTATAATCATCTTCCTTTTCCTTCCTTCAATACTTAACAGTTTAGTAGAATTCTAGTTTTTACTACTATAACTAGTCAAAATCACAGAGATCTTGTTTTTCTGATGAACAGTGAAAAGGCATTTTCTAGGCAGTGGGGCTTAGGAAACTTATCTTTTTCTATTATTGAAGATAGGGAATTATCCTTTAATGAAAAAAAAATAACCTGACTTTACACCTATGTCAAAAGTTTAAGCTGTTTTTGGGCCGGCCCGGTGGCGCACTGGAGAATGCGCCGCTTGGGAGTGTGGCGGCGCTCCCGCCGAGGGTTCGGATCCCATGTGGAGACCAGTTCCCACTCACTGGCTGAGCGCGGTGCGGGGGCAACACCGAGGGTTGCGATCCCGTTGCCAGTCCCCGGTGCGGGCGCGACACTGAGGGTTGCGATCCCGTTACCGGTCAGCAAAAAAGACAAAAAGGAAAAAAAAAAAGTTTAAGCTGTTTTAAGAATATTATGAAATAATAATTCACAATCATAGGTGGAAAATATAGCTGAATCAGATAACAGGCTAAATTGGTAAGAGAAGAGGAGACTTTAAATAGATTAGTTATGAACGCAGTGACAACAGGTTTATGCCTGCTGTCCTCATGTAAGTGCCAGTAGTGCCTATTCTGCTCCCTGAATTTTGGCTGATACATTTCTATGGTCATTTAGCTATGAATAAATTAAAAACTCAATTTTCACAAGGACATGCTTTTATTAGAAAGCTCAACCATGTACAGCTAAGCCATTAGCCTTCATTTGCAAGTCAACTAGAAATGAAAAAAAAATTAAAAAGAAATTCCAGTTCTAATTTGCTATATGTGTTGTAGAAAATCACAGTACTAGAAAATGATTATTTGAAAATGTTAAAATATTTACAAGCGGAATAGCTCTATGTTCCTAACTTTTCATCAATATGGAGGGTAAAGCACATATACTTTCACAGAAAAGCCCTGAGGACACTATAAGGGATAGATTATAATATAAAAAGGGTCACTGATAAGACCCACCATAGATCAGTTACCTCTATCTACTTCAATTTAATACCCAACAAAGCGGTACATCTATGGACTATGCCAAAATGAATTTTCAAGCTTCAAAAAGTTTTCCATTAGAAGCTATAAACAGGAAAAGTAGCAACCTTTAATTTTTGCAGTGAACTGAGTCTAGTATAGAGGCAATGCTTGGGAAGATCCTTTGATACTAAATAGCTGCCAGTTTCTTCAGGCGTCCCTTTATTTGCATCTTTTGGGTCAATATCTAGGTCCTGTGAAAAAATCAGTGAATGTTAATAATGAAATCAATGAAAATCACAACATAGTCTATGATGTAAAACATCTCAGCAGGTTTAGCTTTCTCATTAATTCTGGCCTGAGTTGGTAATCGCTTATCCAGCAATAAAGAAACAATGAAAACAACATTCTATGGTTATAACAGGCCTTCTAAATGTTACATTAATACATTTAAAAAGTAAAATGAACTCTGAAAGGATAGTTTCCTTTCAAACTATTCCTAGAAACACTTCTGAACCTACTCAGGTTTCCTGTTTGACTCCCGGGTTCTCTCCTTCTTTACCATCGCTTTTGGGAAGGAGCAGGGGAATTTATATGATCAGCATATTTAGGAAGAATAAATGGGCACGCCACAGTCAGCCTTTCCCTTTTCCTTCTTTTAGAGCTAACCCACTGGCCAAGAGAAAAGAGGTGTCCTGCTCCTCCAGAGAGAAGCCTACAGGCTCGCCCTGCCCAACACCTATCCCAGTCCATGCTGCCGAGACTGTCTCATTCTGGGGTTTTGTGCTAGGCCATTTGCTCTAACATGAAGCAATGTCCTCCATGTAATAAAAGTGATTTTTATTGTTGTTGTTTAAGGCTGGTCAAGTGAGGCAGTGGGAGTGGAGAAGGAACAATGAAATTTGTAACTGGTTGTGATCAGTTAGTTGTAAACACCACTGCACACTGACTAACCAGTGATATTCTGGATTTCTGTTTTTCTTACTCCTGTTTATTTTTTAATCTGTCACACCTATATAGGAAAGAGGGGTACTATTAATCAGTTTCTTTAGAGCAACACAAAGTAAACATACCTAAATATCTGGAAAGAACAGAACTAGATTTCTGTTCTTCCAATATATAGTCATACCTCAACAAGTAAGACTTATACTGTTATAATAACTTATACTGGAAACAATGATTTTAAAAGGAAATCATTCTTGACAATCCATATAGCACATTTACATTTGATGTCCTATTTAGGACATGAGAAATTAAAGGCATCCTTCCTGAGTGAACTTTAGACATTTCTAAATTTGATAAACTTGAGGAATTTGGGGAATTATTAAATATTATGACCAGTGTTACTAAACTACAAATACATAAACACATGCATATACATGTATATAAATATATGTGAAGGTACTTGAAAAAGTTCATGGAAAAATAGAATTAAAAGGTAATACAAATCTTTCCATGAACATTTTGAAGTACTCTTGTATATATTTCCTTTATATTTACCATCAACTTTAAGTTTTCAAAAATTTAGTCTTTAATAAGTGAGAATATATCATTGTATTTTAAATAAAAGAGAAAAGAGACTTACAAGTGGAAAATCAGTAACATAGGCATCACACATTATTATCTCTGGTGGTTTGTGGACTATACTTGTATAGATTATCATGACATTAGAAAACTCAGCCGCAAATCCTAATTGAATTTGAACCCCACATTGAAATTTAAGACACATACTTTCTGGAAGTTCTGAAAAAGAACAATCAGAACAATTTACAAAAAAATTACTTAGAGTGCTTGGTAAGTTTTCTGATGCAAATATCCTTTATGGGGCAAAACATGGTTAGCGTCATCATATTGTTTAAACAAAGACATATACACACAATTAAAAAAAGGAAAAAAAAAAAAAAAAAAGCTCAATATTCTGTTGGCCAAACAAATCAAATCTTCCATTTATTATTTTCTTATAGTTCTTGTTCATCTCCTTATGTAATTTTTATAGTGGTAATCAAAAGTATACATATAATTGTAGATGTATTTTCACTGTTGCTTCAATCTTTATGACAACAATTTTTAGTAAAGTATAATGTTACTGAATGGCCACACTTAGAGTCCGTTATCTTTAACCATTCTGTTACTCTTGAGTAGATATAATATTTCTGGGTTCTACTGTTTTTCTATCATGACCAATATTTCTGATACATATTTAATGCTTTAGGATTGTTGGATATAGCTATTTGGTGACAAACTTTTAAATTTACACAGAAGATAACAGTTTCACCATAACATTTCCAAAACAGGGGATTATTAATTTTCAAAATGTCTATTTGATGCAATTAAAAGAAAGAAATACACCAGTTTTAATTTTTCCTTAATTACTATTTAAATTTGCCATTTTCTATATTTCTTTCTTTATTATTAATATATTTCCAACTGTGTGGATTGCTATATGTGCATCATTTGTTTATTTATTGAAGGGGGTGTCAATGTTTTTTCTCTTACTATTTTGTAGGAGCACTTCATCATAAAAATAACTATTTACTTACTAAATCTGTTACAAATACTTTCTACCACATCTTCCAGTTTCATTTCATAAAAGGTTTTGTTTACCATAAATGGATCTTTACCTTTGTAATTTTGTTATTGTTTAGATCTTTTTCTAGGGAAAAGACATTCAATTTCAATTATTTATCCAATTATCTGGAATGTCAAGATAATATACTTATGGCATTTTACATTTTAATGAGCTTTAATATGTTAATTTACCAAAAATATATCTTAGAAAACAAAAAGTACTATACTATCAAAAGAAAGATATTTTATAGGAGCTCAATAAATACATTTTTTACAGTTATCTGTGCTAAAAGATCCACAGAATAGACACTCGGGATTCACAGAAAATCCAAAGTCTTTATATCAGTCAATAATTTAAACTTATTTTCACTAAATCACATAGAATTACCAAAAAGTAAACAAGCTATAGATATGAGTTTTCACTTCATCTTCTTTTCTCCTGATCATCCAACCGATTCAAGTGTCCAAGAGAGAATGCTCAGTAACACTCCTGAGCACAGACCACTTGGTGGGTACGATGCTTGTCTCTCATGTGAACTCTCATGCAATCTCAAACAAGCCTATGAAGTAGGGACGATTTCTTATCCCTATTTCATAGAGCACATTTTTTCAAGTGTTAGAGACTGATGAGAACCCAGACAGACCTATTTTAAAAATAGAAGATTTTAAAAATGATCATTTTAATACCTATAATTGAAACATTTGTTTAGTTTGGGATTTGCCTACTAGGCCAAAATATTTTCACTATAAAATTGAAGGAAAGCTGTTTATTCAGGAAAAAAAAAACTTCACGATTTAAAATAAGTATATTATAGAAAGATCTCACAAAAAATAGACTTTACCATACCATGAGCCTTGGCCCACTGTAGATTCCGCACCAGGGATTCTGCAGAATATGCTGTCACCTGTATTGGATCAGTAAGCGCTCTCTTTTCAGATAAACTACTTCGAATCTCTAGAGCCTGTTTGCCTTTGGTAAGGTGACATTTACCCATATCTGAAAGATAAGAAAATGTCATTTTTAAGACCACCATTCTGCTGTTGTGTTTTAAACATTTGGCCCCCAAACATTCCTACAAATCATGTTATAGTCTTGAGATCATTCATTCCTCAACAAATATTTACTGTGCACCTACTATGTGCCAGGCATGGTTCAAGGTACTGGGGATGTAGCAGTAAGCAAGGACATAAAAACATTGGACCCATTCACTTCTAAAGGCCCCTTTCTAGCTTTTATCTTCTGTAATTCTAGGAATATTAGGGACTAGCAAATCCCTAATATTCTAAGCCTTGAAATCCACAAAGAGCTAAAAGTATATTTCTTTACTAGAAGAGCAGCTGTGATAATGTCTGTACTGTTGAAAAATACATTCAGCTAGTAAACAAATGACTACATATCTATGAGAAAAGTTAAAACAACCTGCCACATTTACCTCAGCTATCTTTACTTTTTAAAAGAGGAAATAATGTGCTAAGACCACCCATATGGCTAAAGCACCATCATTCCTCTCTCCTCACCTGAAGTAACCATCACCCAGTGCAGTGTCTATATTCCCATTCCTATTTTTACTCATGTGTAGGTATCTGTAAATAGCATGTGCCAATGTTTTAGGTTTTAAATTTAACAAAAATGTTACTTACATGCATGCTTTTGTAATGTGCTATTTTCTTTCTACATGTTTTAGATACACATTAAGTAAATAAAAAAACAGACAAAAGCTGAACTGCTCTGCTTGAAGCAGGAGAGTGGAAGGAAGTCCAAATTCCTGGCTGGCTATATTAAAAGGGAAAGCTGTTAAATCAAGTGATCTAGCTAAAATATCTACACTGATCAAAACACAAAAATAAATGTGACTGACGGCTGTTAGTGGAACACCTTATACTCAAACTGCCATCTTGAGAATATCCATGAAACCCCATTATCTAGTGGTGCTAGTTTGCAAAAGAGTTACCTTCTTTTTGATGTGGCTTATAAAATGGCATTTCAAAAAACACCTTGCAATCTACAGATTAACAGGTCCTCATTTTGCACCTGACATGCTGCATTATTCCAGCAGGCAGGGAAGGGGACAGAGGAAATGAAAGATGTGGTGTTAGACCTCCACAATCATGTTCTCAAAGCAAGATTTTAAAACTACTAGGTTCATCAAGAAAAAAAAAATCAGCTTTTTTCAGTAGGGTCTCAAAATTTCTGTGAAGTTTTTTCTCTTCAATCCTGGGAGAGACTGCTCACTAGACAACTGTTTTTGCAAACAGGTAGACTGGGCAGCGCCAAAGTGCCAGGCATAGAAACAAGTTGGAGCCCTGAAGATTAAACTTTACTTCACAGTTGTGCCTGGGGTCAGCCCCGTAGTCTCAGGAATGCCGCACAGACAGCATGCAGCTAAGTCAACTGGGAAAGAAGAAAGGAATTACATAGCAGGAATTTTGCTCCATGATATATTAAAAATTTGTCTTATAAAGTAAATACTAATCCCAAACCCACACAATAACAGTATGAGTAAAATAATCACCAGAGAACCCTGGAGGTTTATCTCCCTTACTCTCCTTTTTTCAGGTAGTTTTCTCTTTATTTTTTATTTTACCTTCTGCAACTTCATCCAGTAACACTGTTATTTTCTTGTCTTCTAATAATCTGTCTTTTAAAAATTTCATGAAGATTCCATTTGCCAATCCAGAATGCTGGATTTCAAAAGCTTCTGCTCCTTGACACCTTAAAAATAGGGGAAGAAAGAAATGAAATAGGTCTGGCACAGAAAGACAGCACGTTTTCTCACTGTATGTGGAAGTTAAAAAAAATAGGACACACAGACGTGGAGTGGTGGTTACTGGAGACTGGGGAGTTGGGGGAAGGGGAGATGTTGGTCAAAGGGTACAAGGTTTTGGCTAGACAGGAGGAAAAAATGATAAATATCTGGGGTGATGGATATGTTAATAAGCTTGATTCAGTAATTCCGCATTGTATACAAATACCATAGCACCACGTTGTGCCCCATAAATACATACAATTATAATTTGTCAATATCCAATAAAAAGGTAAATTTTTTTAAAAAAGAAAAATTTTAAACAGCAGACACTTGCTATATGCGGCTTCTGTACACACTGATGAGCCCTCATTCTCTCTTCTGCCCCTCATGTGACATCCTTAATTAGAGTTCACATTTAAGCAGGAACTAAATGCCTTGGTGCGTAGTGAAGAGACAACAAGATATGAAGGGCTAAAGCCAATTATCTAAGGCTTTCTACCAAGAGTATCATAGAGACAAATTTACGCCTAGATGTCTATGGATATTTCTAGGACTCTAATCTACAACCGAAAAGAAGGCATAGAAGAATAAAGGAATCTTCTGCATAAACACGAAATTTTCTTACGTGGCATATCCGAACACAATATTGGCGGTGACTTTAAGTGCATCCAAGATTGGAATGGTATCATCATAGTCATTTCTATTTAAAAGAAGGAATGGGGAGAGAAGAGCAGATACAAATACAAAAAGTTAAACAGCATTCTTAGAGTAGAAAAAATATAATGAAAAATATAATACATTTAGTATATACATAAGTTAAAATTATAGATCATCCTTTGTAGTATGATGTGTACCCAAACCCTTTAGTTCTTTAATTTTGTTCTATAGCAAATAGGGAAAGAGTTAAAATATTAGATATACATAGACAAAATATATTTTCCTCTACTTTTCTTCTTTCAGTTTCAACGTATAATCTAAAATTCACAAACTCAAATGGTTCTCAGCATTTCACAAGTTTGCCTTATGTTTAATTTGTCAAGGTTGATATTTAACTCCAACAATCATTTAATAAAGATTGGAAATTTTACCTTTTCCTACACATATCCAACAAGAACACATTGAGTCCTGTTTCTTTTTCCTGCATCAATTTCAGTATATTCTGTACACACAGACAATTTTCAGACCTATATGGATTGGGGGCATCAACGGGGACCATAAAGCTGTTCCCAAAGTTTTCATAACCATGTCCTGCATAATACAATAACCCTGAAAAAAAAAAGAAAAAGAGGTAGATGTTAATTCTAAATGCACTCTGAACATAAGGATAGCACACTTCTTTTAAAAAAGTGACTTTTATTTTCTTTAAGTTGATGCACACATGTGTAAGAAATACCAAATTACGAAAACAGTCAATGTTAATTTGCATTTAAAATTACTTTGGCAACAGTCTTCAATTCTACATTTTAAAACATCAAGATGTTGTCTGAAGTGTAATCTAATTTATAAAAGCAATAATTTGTAACCAATGATATAATATGAAATGCAATTTTATGTCATGATGTATGAAAAAGAAGGCACCTACAACTTCTTTCCTGACTCATTTGTCTCCCCCATGAGGCTAGGAGCTCCTTCAGGGCAGGGATAGTCTTACATTTACCTGTGTATTCCTGGCTCACAGCAGGAGCTTAGCAAGGATTTATAGGATGAACAAACACACACAATTCAGATGAATAGCTACCGTGATACCAAGTGCAAGCAGCTCCATAGTCATTGTCATAAATATTTGTATGGGTTATAAAGATATAAATGTAGATTTATGATCGGAGAGGAGAAATCTGGTTTTATAGGTTGCTATTTCTTCTTTGTGTTATGAGATATATCATAAGTTTTCCAGCTAGACTCTCTCAAATTAATAATCTAAAATTTGGGTTAGTTTTAGGACTCAATAGATGAGTCACATTTCCTTACTGAGAAACGATACTACAAAAACACCAAACAACTCCAAATGCTTTCTTGAAAAGAAGTTTGTTTCAGTTGTAAAAACAACAAAAAGATCAGCATGGACTTCCTTATAAAAATATTTGATAGAAATGCTTTTGAAGATATATTCCCCTAAGCCTGTGATCTCTAAAGCCCGCCAGTTTAGCTCTCTCAATCATCTGGACATAAAGATTTCTTTAAAGGGTACTTTAAAGTTAATACTACCAGGCATTTAGACAAGAAACCAAAAAATAGCTAGTCCATTGCAATTATAGCCCCAACTCCTAACAGAGAACGTGGCTTTGAGAACTGAAGAAAACTTGCTTCATTTGGTCCTAGAGGGCAAAATGCAGGTCATCTTCTTTTCTGGAATTTCTATTAAAATGAGAAAAATAGTTCTTGCACATACATTTCAGATCAAATGAGAAAATGAATATGCCCATGTATCCAGTGCGGGTTTGTTCTGTAGCTCAAGTGTGCACTGAATATTATCATGCTGGCACTGAGTCCCCACGCGCTAGGATCCTGCAGCCCAGCTGGAGGTTCAAGCGTGCTCATGTTGTCATGCAACGCTGAGAGTCAGCACACAATTAAATGCCCTAAATCAGGTCGTCAGGGCAATCACGGAGGAAACGCGTAAAGTGCAGGGAGGGAGGTCAGTGTCAGGTGGAACAGCAGGCGCTGGTCTGGGGAGAATGGGGAAAGGCAGAGAGAGAGCAAGGCCCACTACAGGCAGGAGAACAGATGCAAACAAGGCATGGCCCTGGAACGCAGGCTAACAGAAAAGAGACTGGCCTAGCCAGCAATTAAATTACTGTTGTAAATGGAAATAAGAGCGCACAGATAGGGAACAACAACAACAAAAAAGAGTGCACAGGTAGAATTTTGAAAATCACCACAAAGGGAGGGGATTGAATTCAATAAGCAACAAACATCAAGTAAGTGAAAAGACGGCCCACACAATAGGGGAAAGTATCTGCAAATCATATACCTAATAAAAACAACTTATATCCAGAATCAATAAAGAATTCTTCAACTCAACAATAAAAAGACCAACAATGGGATTTAAAAACGGGTAAAGGACTTGAATCAACACTCTCCAAAGAGGATATACAAATGGCAAATAGGCACATGAAAAGATGCTCAGCATCGTTAGCTGCCAGGGAACTGCAAATCAAAACTGCAATAAGATACCACCTCACATTTACTAGGACGGCTATAATCAAAAGGACAGACACCACAAGGGTTGGTGAGGATGGAGAAACTGAAAATGTCATTCCTATCTGGTGGGAATATAAAATGGTGTAAGAACTCTGGCAAGAGTCTAGCAGTTCCTCAAAAAGTTCAATACAGAATTACCACATGACCCAGCAATTCCTCTCCCAAGAGAACTGAAAACTTAAGTCCATACAGTAATGTGTACACATATGCTCTTTGCAGCATTATTTACAATATGCAAAATGAAAACAACCCAAATGTCCATCCACTGATGAATGAATAAACAAAATGTGGTATATTCACATAATGGACTATTATCCAGTCCTAAAATAATAAAGTTCTGGATACAGGCTAGAATATAGATGAACCTTGAAAACATTATGCTAAGTGAAAGCAGCCAGACATACAAGGCCACATGTTGAATGATTTCACTTATACGAAATGTGCATTCAATTTGTCTCTATGGCAAATTCATAGAGACAGAAAGTAGATTTGTGGTTGCTAAGGGCTGGAGTAAGGAGAAAAGGGAGTGACTGCTGATGGGTATGGGGTTTCTTTCTGGGGTGATGAAAATGTTCTGGAGTTAGTTAGTGGTGATTGATGCACAACTAAACCGCTCGCTGAATAATACACTTTAAAAGAGTAAAATTTGTACTCCACTATCTTATATTCAAAATATTTCCCATCAGTCTTTTTAGTGCTTCTCTCCTTTCTATCTACTCAAATCTTAACCAGTCCTCAAGGTTATCTCAAATTCAGAATCCTTGGCGAGTCATCACCTGGTCTGTAGCTTACTAATAAACTTCAGTCTCTCCCTATCTTGAAATGCTGCAGCAGCACTTTTTGGGAATTACATACTGGTTTTTATGGACATTACAGTTCTATGTATACTTAAATTTTCTGACAAATCTTTTACATTTACGTAGTGCTTTCATAGTTTTCAAAGTACTTTCATACACACAATCTAATTTTAATCCACCCCTATTTTACAGATGAGAAAACTAAATTAAGAAGATTAAATGATTTGCTTGTGTCTGAACTCCGTATAAAGCATTCTTTCCCATTACATAAAGTGAGTACAATTTTCTTTGGAGGATATATCATGTTCTTTATTCTCTATATCTCCCTCAGCACATAGTATATTCCTTATCTGGACTGTGAATATAATAGGAACTCAGTAAATACATATTAAATTGCATTAAATTAATAATGCAAATTGATCAAGACAGAGTCAGATCTAAAGGTCTTTTAGAAAGGGTCAACAAATGGCACTACTAAGACACCAACCAGCAAGCCTGGGTGTAGCCCCATCATGCCGCTTAACATGTCTAGCTCTAGCAAGACTTGACTCAAGGGAGGGCTTAGCTCCCATTGATCCAGGGGAAAGCTAAGTGTGATTCTACTACGTCAATGCCATATGTCCAGCCCTGCAACCACTGAAATTAAGACACTTACACCAAGATGGTCTCTCCTCCCCAGATGACTTATGAAAAATATAAGCATTTTGTATGAAAGTCTGCAACCAAATTATACTGAGGGGAATTAAGTATTTTTATGTAAAATAAAATGCTCCAAATCATTGTATTTTTAAAATTCCATCTCTAGTACTGCTTATTCATTAAATTAATTATCTCATTTCTCAAGGATAAAGAACAAAATAAATATCTTTATAAATGTCAAAGAATTAGATCTTTAGGGAATCTTATTTCTTGGGAACATGATTTTCAAGAATATAGTTTGTCACAGATATTTTGTCTAAAAAGAAAATAATCATTTAAATGAAAAATGTTCTCGTTTGGGTGAATCTGCACTCCACCTAGCATGGTGCTCCATGAGAGCATCACCCACCAGCAGCGGCAGACTCATGCAGCACTCACGGTGTGCCAGGCGTGGTGTGCCAGGCATGGTATGCCGGGCACGGCTCCAGAAAGCTCTTTAGTCCTATTACCTCATACAGTCCTCATGACACAAACCTCAGAACAGGGTAGGTAATATTATCACCTTCCTTTTACAGATGTAAGCCTGAGACATTGGGGTTTAAAAGCTCACCCAAATTCAAAAGACTAATAAGAGATGGAACCAGAATTTGGATGTAGCTTAGCTAAACCTCTGTGCTATGTTACACTGTGTCTATAATATACTGCCAGCTTTTTAGTTAACTTTACTCTCAGAAAATGTGAAGTGTCAGTGTACTGGCTTTTCACTATTTTACATTATGGCTTTAAAAACTCCTTTTTTTCCCAAAAGAAAACTTCGGCAGACACTTAACATAAAAACTGATGAAAGCTGGGTTTCTGTCATTGAGGCCTGAAGTGGAACGTTACCTAATCCAAATCCCCAATCTAAAGATGAAGGAAAGCATAAATTCCTTTAATAACTTCTCAGGAAACTACAGTAATAATAGCTATAATATTTTGAGCACTTTCAATGTGCCAGGCACGGGGATAATTTTTTATTTTATTTACCCTGTAACAACCTCATTAACTTAGTTCTATTCATTTTATGGATCCCTTTTTGGCTTAGAAAAGTTAAATAACAAGACCACAGTCATACAGCTATTAAGTAGAAATGCCAAAGCTTCAGACCTGGGATAGCTTATTCTAATGCCCATTACTTAATCACTGAGCTGCAGTGAACTGAATGACTCCTCTAGGGTGAGTAAGGCTTTTGGCATATTCTGACCAGACTTCTTTTTTTTTTCTTCTCCACAAAGCACAGCTAAGCTGCAGCAAGTGATGAATATAGAAAGATATATGGTGGGGTAAATAGCATGCCAAATAGTTATTTGTTTTATCCTAGCTATCTATATAAAATAAGTAGAAATCTTTACCCTTATTTATCTTCAAGGACATGTAGTGTAAGTCAGTCATTTCTGTTTTTGATTCTTGTTTTTTATGTTTATATATGTTTAAAAGTGAATTACTTATTTTCTGTTCTGTTGTAATTTTTATTTCTTTTATAGACCCATGGGTGTTATAATAGAAAAGGGTGTAAGCTTGAGTCTCTGTTTTCCATATCTAAAGTTGTTCATGCTGAAATTCCTATGATTTTCCCTTCCACCCCTTCCCCAATTACTATTAGTCACTGGGGGATATCAGCTAGAGGTAAAGGCATGGTCCAAAAGAAAAATGCAAAGTTTCTTTACAACATGCCCTAAACCCTCAAGCCTCACCACACTTACATTTAATGTAGATGTGTCTGATGTTTTGGATAGTCACAATACTTCAAAATACAATGCAGCCACCCTGTTAAGACATGAATCAGTAGTATTTAAAATTTTCTAGCTTTCTTAAGCTCGATTTTGCTTTAATATGCCTCTATTCTGTATTCCAAGATGATGTTTTTACAGTGGGGCAAAGCTTCAGCCTAAACTGAAATCTTGCCACATTTGCTTATATTTCTGGTTCTCTACTTAGCAAGGGCAAATAAAGGTTTTGATTTAAAAAGCCAAACAAAGGGCTTAAAAAGCCAAGGTGACAATGTCAATAAGAAATGAGAATAAATAATTAACTACCTAATTCTTCATATAATTTCCTCACTCTTTCAATACCTCACCAATCCAGAAACCTTAATTGATCAATATTTTTTCCTTACCCCTCATTATGTCTAGTGAAGTTTTAAAAGCCTTTTCCTGTTTAAGCCATGTAGGCACCTTAAAAACTGAGATAAATTATATAATATAAAAATGCTTAAACAATCCACCTGATTCTAGACTGATATAAGCCAATTACCAAGGGGGCATATTTGTATATTCTTTCGTATTTTTGTAAGAAAAATGGATGGATTCTCCTATTACTCATCACTCCAAAACGCTCATAAGCAAAGTTATGTTTTTTTGTTTTTTGTTTTTTTTAAAGATGACCGGTAAGGGGATCTTAACCCTTGGCCTGGTGTTGTCAGCACCACACTCAACCAGTGAGCGAACCGGCCATCCTTATAAAGGATCCGAACCCGTGGCCTTGGTGTTATCAGCACTGCACTCTCCTGAGTGAGGCACGGGCCAGCCCTCAAAGTTATGTTATTACAACATCAGCGTAATAGCTGAAATCCCAAATTTGAGGTTTACCTTGTTAATTTCATTTGTGTTATGACAGTAATCAATATTTAGAGAAGGAAACTCATTTAAATACAATTTTGACTTTCCCCTTTCTCTTATATAGTAGTGTGTTAAATCTTGAAAAAAATGGGTTTTGTTCCATTAAAAATCCTACTTTGAGAATCATTAGCAATTCCTCCAAGTCTGCCTCACCACATCAATCTAATCGTAAATAAAAAGACTAAATTCAGAAATTGTTAAAGTAAAATAATTAGAACGATATAGAAGCCTACTTGATACTTTTTGTTTATCACTTGCATGCCTAACAACAGGCCTGGAAATATCATTTTCCTGGCAGTCAAATGATATTGCGCAATGTCATGGTAAGCACAATCCTGTGAAAGACGGTTCAAATGAGCTCAACAGCTGGTGTTCCCATACTTGAGGTTATATATATTAAAAGAATAAGACACCAAAGACATTACTACTGTCAGTGTACTGTCTTAAAATTCTTTACCTACATGCAGTGTTCTTAACATACGTAAGTGAAAGAATGGGAAAAAACATTAAAAATTGTACTGTTACAATTTTTGTGGAGATGCATCTTTAACCATGTCTGCATAAAACTTTAATTTACAAATTGTTGTCATATGCCTCATTCACCAACATTTCTTTGTTAAATTCTAGTTCCTATTTAAAGACTAGAAAATACCAAGCAATAGTTAGAAAAAAGAAACAAATTTAATGTACATTCAGTTACAACCTTTTTTTTTTTTTCTTTTTTGAGGCTGGCCACACCACGCTCAGCCAGTGAACGCATCGGTCACCCCTATATAGGATCCGAACCCGCCGCGGGAGCGCTGCTGCGCTCCCAGCGCGGCACTCTCCCGAGTGTGCCACAGGCTCGGCCCTCAGTTACAACCTTTTTTTTTTTTTCTTTTTTGTGGCTGGCCACACCACGCTCAGCCAGTGAACGCATCGGTCACCCCTATATAGGATCCGAACCCGCCGCGGGAGCGCTGCTGCGCTCCCAGCGCGGCACTCTCCCGAGTGTGCCACAGGCTCGGCCCTCAGTTACAACCTTTTATACTCAAAAAACCCCTAAACACATAGAGTAGTATTTTACATATATTAATGTACATTTAGCTATTTGGTCATCAGCCTTTACAGTAGCTCTTATAGTCAATAAAAAACAAAATCACAAAAGACAGGTCAGAATTCTAATAAGAACAATATTGTTTTGACAAAAAAAGAAACACGTAAGCAAGTAAAGACATTAAGCTAATTAATTATTCATATGGAGTGAAGTTCAAATCTATCTTTTCTTTTACAAGAAAAATAAAACTCTTCAATTCAACGATGTGCTTACCTTACCTGTATCTAATTTTCAACTCTTAACCTAACTTCCACAATGAAAAGAATAGTAGATAATTATAAAAACAAAGATTATAAATATCTTACCATATACTCCTTTGTCTAGAAGTAGTAAAAATTCATCCACGGCATTACGCATCTCATATTCAGTAAGATCCAACAGGGAGACAACTTTGAAATCTAGCTGTCTTAATATGTTGGTCAATTCATATACATCCACCAAAGGAGCTTTGAGCTTTGGGTGCTCCCAGTAATTCATATTTCCTATCAAAAGAGCAACCTTGTCCTTTGCTGTAAAAAAAAAAAAAAAAAGCAGGGGGTGGGCATTTAAAGGAGGATATAAAGATTAAAATAAAACCTATGTAAATAGTATCATTATAATAAAAAAGCATGCTTTAAGACTGCATGATTTAATTATTATTTAATTTCATTTAAAAATTATACTTAATGTAGCAGACCAATACACTCTAAGGAACACAAGAGGCTAAAATATCAAACAACTGAAATTGAACTTATTGATGCTTTTGAGAACCAGGCAAAGGATATTTACTACCAGTATAAGAAGCATAATGGTTACTAATATTAAAGTACATTTTCACTGAATTACAATGAAGAATTTAATATTCAACTAGACTTTTAGATGTCTTAGAGCACTCTCTTGAATTTAATGGTAATTAAGACGATGGGTAAGTAAATCTTACCTTGTCCAGTCTACTTGTAAAACAGTTCCTGGATGGCAGGTGAACTGGGGTGGATTTAGAATAGAGAAGCAGACTGCTGTGGTGGAAATGAGAGACAACAAAGACCCATTCTAGGAAATTAGTTGTAAAAAGGGAAAGGAAAAGTCAGACCTTAGAGAGATGACAGAGAAAGGAACAGTAAAATTTGAATTTGAGGAGATAAGAGAGAGGAATAAAAAAAAACTTCCAAAGAGCAACTATATAAGCAATTTATGATAGTTTTCAAATGATAAAACAAATGGAAGAAATTTCTGTAGAAAAACATTTACTGTAAGATACACCCACAGCTTCTTGAATACAAACCATTTATTGGAAAAAGGAAACAAAAATGCTGGTTGATAAAGCAAAAAAACAATGAAACCACTTCAGAAACATATTTTAACTACAAGATCCTAGACATTTTCCAAAGCTTAATGCAATGTATTCTTCAAAAATTGATACAGTGTTATATCATTAATTCCATGTTTAATAATTCTAATTATTATGTTACTAATCCAAAATGAGTTAATACTCATAAGAACTGAGAAAAGGACCTGGCATATATTAAATGCTATTAAGTATTTGTCAAATTAAAAAACCTTTGGATGTCTATCAAAAATTGAGTGTTAGCATCAAATACGACTGGTTGAATATACAGTCCTTGTTATTCTCATGCATTAAATCTTTTAATGACTGTCCATTACCCTACAAATAAATTCCAAGTTACTTAGTATGGCATATAAGGCCATTTGCATTCTAGCCCATGCCTACTCTTCTACTGTGGCAATAGATGACCCCCAATGAACCACGGTACCCTTGTCTTTGTGTAGTGTAGTCACCCCCATCCCTGAAACTGGGCTGCCCTGTGACTTCCTTTGAGCAACATAATGTGATGTGACACTCTGCCAGTTCTGGGTCTCAGCCTTAAGAAGTCCTGACAGCTTCTGTTGCTTGGGTCCAGTCACCATGTAAAGAAAGCAGCTACATGAAGAGACCATTCAAGGAGAGAGGAGGAAGTGAGGGACGGAGAAAGAGAGGGAAAGGAAGAAGAAGGAGGCTGGGGAGAGAGAGATCGGTTTTCAGTCTTTCATCAGTCCCCACTAAGGTGCCAGGTATGTGCACAAAACCCCCTGGGATGTTGCAGCCCAGCTATCATTTGACTATGACCACATGAGACCCCAAGAGAGACTGGCAGAAGAACCATCTGCTGAACCCAGTCAACCCACAGAATCATGAGACATAATACAACTGGTCTTGTTTTTAAGCTAGTAAATTTTGAAATGATGTTGGGCAGCTATAGGCAACTACAATGCCAGTCTAGTCCCAGCTACTCCTTCCCTTTCACTCTACCTTCCAGCAGTACTGAACTGCTTGCTCCTTACCCATGCCATCTATTTCACACCTCCATCCTCTCCGTGTCTTATCCCTTCTACCTCAAACATGCGCTTCCACTTTATCCACTTGGGATCTCCCAGTTTATCCTTGAAATTCCCTGCCTGGCCTTCACCTCTTAGGTAAAGCCTTCCTCGACTCTCCCAAACTAATCTGATCATCATCTTCAATGAACAATTTCTAGACCCTTTACATAGTTCTAGTATGACATGTATTATGTACTGTATTATTTACTTAATGTCTGCCTTCCCTGTTAAGACTGCAACGCCTTGAGCTCAGGAACCAAGGCTCATTCTCTTACTTCATAAAGGGTAGCACAGATGAAATGTTCAGTAAATGTTTGGTGAACTTCAATGATAGAAGTTGACTTGATAATCAGTTTATCATGTTATTCTTTCAATTAGGACATGTTTGAGAAAGGATACCTGAAAAAATGGAGCTAACAGAAGCTATGGAATGTGGTATCAAGCCTGGTTCAACTTCAATTGTGTAATCCTGAGCAAGATTTATTAAACACTTACAGTTTTAAATTTTCATCTACTAAAAATGAGGAAAGTATTGACATCTCAGGGTTTAACTATATATTGCACTAAGTGAAAACACTTAGTTTATTAATATTATTACTAAACACACAATTGTAATTGAACCATCTTCAACAACTAACCCAGTCACATTAGGATTTTCTCATTTTGTGTGCTTACAGGCACATACATGTTTCTCAGTATAGAACAGAACGGCTATATCTTGTTCAGAACACTATTTTAATAAGTCTTTCTTAGCCAGTGAGGTTTTGGGATCTAGAGGGAAGATAACAGAGCTGGAATACACAAAAACTTACCACTATGAATGAAATATGGCAGACTTTTTTAAAGATAGTAATTCACAGTTCCCTGTTCTACTCAACATCAAAGGCCTTCACCTTCACAGTCACCCAATTCTATGATCATATCCTAGACTCTGCCATCACCTAAGCTGCCCCAACTTTGAAATCCAAAACAATACATTTCCTTCTGTAACCATAACAACCTCCCATTTTTTAACATTTTTGTCCCTACTACTCTTGTTTTTCCAACTCAGTTAACTTTTTTAATCTCTTTACTCCTCCATTTTCCACCAGTTTATTAACCTGTTCAAGGCTTTCTTTCTCTACACAGTCTTTATCCCTTGGTTAATTCCTCCAAATCCCAACTGTCATGCCCTCTTCCGAATGTGGCCTATAAATCTCTGACTACCACAGTGCCTGGCACACAGTAGGTACCTGGTAAGTATTTATTAAACAAACAGAAAGACCAGCTCATCAGTTTGCCATCTCTATTTTAAAGCTGAGTTCTGCTACAGAAAAATCACACAACTGATCTGTACCACTATAAATTCTTAATTTTTAAGTCTTAGTTGTACTCTCTGTATATTTTTTCACTTGTAGATGGTCAGACCTCGCTAGCTTCCATGTTCTTTAGCCACTAAACCTCTGCCACTGCCCAGTTCTATAATCAGCCTTACTCTGCTCTCTTTTCCTCAATCCTTCAAGCAGGCTACTGAGCCTAATTACCTAGAAAGGAAAACCATCAACTAAAAATGTCCTCATCTTTCTAACAAATCTATCTACATCTTCACCAATCTTTCTGTCCTTCTAATATGTAAAGAAGAGGTTTCAACATTTTGATTAAAGCCAATATCTCTTTTTCATCTTAGGCCAAACCCTAACATCTCCTCTAGGAATGTGCTCCACAAATTGTCCTCTCTTTGATGGGTCCCTCTAACCTATAGTCTCAATAGATCCTTCCTCTCCAAATGTAAATAATCCTCATATTTTTCCCACCTTCCAAAAAACTCTGAAGGTACGCCCCACCTAGTTAACCTCAGATCACCATTTTTTTCAACAAATTAATTTGTACTGTATGTCTCCACTTGTTCACTTGAATGGTTCTTTACCCACTAGACATGTTATCCGTACTTGAATTCTAGGCATGACTTGGTAACTGACACACATTATGCACTTCCAACATTTACTGAAAGTCATCAATCATTTCTTCACTAGCTGAATCCACTGGACAAATCTTAGACATCATTTTAACTGACTTCTGCTGGGATCAAGATGTTGACTATTGGGCCGGCCCGGTGGCGCACTGCTACAGTGTGCCGCTTGGGAGTGCAGCGGCGCTCCCGACTGACAGAACTGAAGGGAGAAGTAAACAGTTCTACCATGCTAGTTGGAGATTTCAGTACCCAACTTTCAATAATGAATAGAACAACCAGACAAGATAAGTAAGGAAATAGATGACTTATCACAATAAGCCAGCTAGATCTAACAGGTGTATACAGAACACTCCACCAAACAACAACAGCATGTATACTCTTCTCAACTGCATATGGAACATTTCTGTATGTTAGGCCACAGCTTAAATCTCAATAGATTTAAAAAGATAGTTATCATACAAAGTATCTTCTCTGACCACAGCGGGATGATGTTAGAAATGGATTACAGGAGTAAGTCTGGAAAATTCACAAATTTGTGAAAATTAAACAATTGACTATTGGGCTGGCCCCATGGCTCACTCAGGAGAGTGCGGCACTGGTAGCGCCGAGGCCACGGGTTTGGATCCTACATAGGGATGGCCGGTGCACTCACTAGCTGAGCGTGGTGCAGACCACACCGTACCAAGGGTTGCGATCCTCTTACCGGTCAAAAAAAATAGATGTTGACTATTTTTACCACCTTTAACTGTTAATCTGCTAAACTTTTATAGTATGAATCTCCTGGATTTTCTCCTACTTTGCTAGTTTTTTCCCTTGTATTTTTTTCTCCAATGCATTCTTTAAATGCAACTGCTCATTTACACTTTATCTTAAATCCTCTTCTGCTCTCACTGAAGAAGATGGGGAAGCAAACTCTAAAGCTTCTTGCAGCTACTGTGATGCTTTCCTAATCTCTACCCCCCACCAAAGACAGTACTAATCACTGCTTTCTCTATGCGAGCTGTGTAATAGGTACATGTTTTTTTGCATGTTGCCAAAAACACATGAATCACTCCACAGAATTTGACTTGACCCCAGAAACTGAATTTGTAATCTTTTTTAAGTTTCCTCTTCTGTAATTTCTTTGTCCCCATGCTATTCAAATGTTTATAAAAACAATCAAATTAAAATTATCTCAAATTCCTTTATGATAATTAAATATAGTTAAATACTATAATTATGCTTTGATCATGCTCTTTAAAGTCCTACTCACCTGATGGTTGGTCAGTTATTTGCTCTTTATTATCTATACAAAGATAAAAAAGCAAAACAGATAAGATGTTATTATCCATGATATATACAGAAAAGCAATGAACAATAACATCAGTAGCATCATTAAAATACAGAATATAGTTTCTAATAGTTAACTTATGATTTTCAGATTTTCACATTTTTGATAAAGATATGGATGGACAGAACTAGAATCAAGGCAGGGGAATTCCTTTGGTACTTGGCTCCCACAACTGGGGCTACTAATCCTTGACATGCTGGGTAGAAATTACAATCTGAAAATGGTGGTGATGTTAACAAGAAGTAGTAGTGGCAGCAGTTAACATTTACTGATGCCTTGGCACTGTTCTACATGTTTTATATGTAACAGATTTAATTAAACTTCACTCTATTCTATGCAGTATATACTATATTAACCCATTATACAGATAAGGAAACTGAGGCATAGAGAGATTAAGCCACTTGTCCAAGTTACCAAGCTAGTAAATAGCAAATCTGGATTCTAATTTAGAGAGTCTCATTCCAGATTCTATGCTTTCACCATCTATTATACATAAAATAAAATTGCTCCCACACTGAGCACCACCCAGAAGAGATACAGGGAAAGATGAAGTTCAATCACTGTGTGTCTATTACTACAGAGAAGGTAACTTTGCACTTTTAGTAAAATAAATGCTGCTGGAGCCTATTAAACACATCATTTCCCTACGCATCATTGTTTTTTTCAAACCCAAATTTTTGGTGTCTCTGAATCTTGGGGAGTAAAGATATAATCAAAGAGGAGACCAGGAAAATTTTAGAAGCTTAGCAGTAGTTTTTGCAAAAGTTTTTGTGAAATAACTTTCACAATGTTCCCAATGTTCACAATGAAGAAGGGCAAGAAATAACAGGCAAATTCAGGAAAACGAGATTCTATCCAGACCAAGAGAAACAATTACTAGGATGGTTCTTGACACTATTTAGTTTTGGATGTTTGGAGCAAGTCTACTGAGGCTTCGCATGAATTCAAGGTCCTTACAGCAAGCAGAATGGTAAACTGGTAATGGTGGCTTTCTGCTTTGTACGATTAGCTTATACACAATCAGCCCAGCCAAAACGGCAATCACAATAATAGATATTTACTAACAAAATAGGACTATGAAACTAAGGAAACTAGCTGTGGTGCTAAAATAATGAGAAATGACATGGAGAGAAATAACAGGGCTTTCTACAAATATTAGATAAAATTCCCTTCTTAATCTACTCCTGTAAGATTTTATCTTCAGATATATTCACAGGTTCCATCACTATCTTTCAGAATGACCACAGCCTATATTGATGACTTCTCTCTTTATGTAGTTCTTAATTTGTTCAGAAATCTGTTGCGATTAAAATTGGCCTAGAGGGCCGGCCCGGTGGCGCACTCGGTAGAGTGTGGCACTTGGGAGCGCGGCGGCGCTCCCGCCGAGGGTTCGGATCCCATATAGAGACCGGTCTGCTCACTGGTTGAGCATGGTGCGGGCGCGACACGGAGGGTTGCGATCCCGTTGCCGGTCACGAAAAAAGACAAAAAGGGAAAAAAAAAAGTTGTACCAATGAGAATACAAGTGTTATTTAAAAAAAAAAAAAAGACTGATTTTCAAATAAGTGTAAAGACTTTTTTAACAAAATGCCATAAAATTTTGTTTCTATGCTGTGGCTTAATCAAGTATACTAATGAGTTATTTTTTTTGTTTTACAGTGCCTTGCAAATTTAGTATCAAATGCACCTTATAACCGTCTGAAACTCAGCCTGCTGACCAAAGTCTGGAACAAAATAAAGCCTTATATCCGCCACAAAGGTTGGTAGTGGTTTAAAACTGATTGCTATCAAAAAAGACAAAAAGGAAAAAAAAAATTGGCCTAGAGAGTTCTGCACACTCCTGCCAATTGTCAGTCTCTCAATGCTCGCTGACCAACCTTACCTGTATAGTGCCAACTATCCCCACTAACATGCCTCTTACTTCTGATGAGGACACCCCACCCAGCTAGTTCAGATATATTCTATGACTGAGCAGTAAAGAACAAGGCCCCAGGGGTCTGACAAGTTCAAAAATGTTACCCCATCACTCTTTCAAAACTGCTTCCTGTCTTTTAAATTAAAGATCGTGCACTTCTTCCATTAACTTCCTTTTTATGATATAAGGAGTAATACACAATGATAAAAAATATATTGATGTTTTATGTTGCCTCAAATACTTTTCTACCTTAAAGTTTTTTAATCTAAATATTTTTAATGTTTCACTAGCATAAAATTGTGTTTCATATAAGTAGTTAATTTCAAACCTAAATTATATTATTTCAATAAAGAAAAAAAGCAACTAGTATTACCATAGCAAAAGAGTATCTATAGTATCTTTATTGCATTTGACAACTTAAAAATCTAAAATTAATGTTTTATATTTGTATTACTCACCAGGATGCCCCAGATGATTTAATTCATCTAAAATAAAAGAGAAAATGGATTAACTTTAAATAATCTAACTGCCAATTTAGCACAAATAGTAAGACTAATCAAAAAAGTTGTTTTTGAGCTATTAAATCATGTTATAATGTTTCAAATACTGAATAGGAAGGAATAGTGTTGTGGATATCATTTAGGGATTCTAAGCTATTATTGCTTTCACTAAACGACAAAAAGGTAATAAACTCATTCATCATTTGTCCAAAGTTTTCGATATTCTGTCAAATTATGGGACAAAAACAGCCAAAAGATAAGTCTGTCTGTGGCCTCAACTATAAACTTCTTGAAACTGATCAACTATCCCAAATGATTTTTTTAAAATAAACTTTTAATTTCAGAACATTTAAGATTTACATACAGTGCAAAGATAGAGCAGAGAGTTCTTGTATACCCCAAATATAATTTCCCTGTTATTAACATCTTATGTTAGTACAGTTCACTTGTCACAACTTATGAACTATCCACGTTCTTTTTTGTTCCAGGACTCCATTTAGGACACCACAGTACATTTACTTCTGTCTCCTCAGGCTTTTCTTAGCTGTGCCAGTTGCTCAGACATTCCGTCTTTGTGGTGACCTTGACAGTTCTGAGGAGTAACTGGTCAGGTATTTTGTAGAATGTCCCTCAACTGTGGTTTGTCCATTGTTTTTCTCATGGTTAGATTTGTGGTTTCTAAAGGTGTAATGTGTTTTGGGAGATATAGTGGTTTCAGAATTAACCAGGACCCCTTGTGGGACATTTTATCATGGCTAAAGGAAAGGTAAAATAATCTAAAAAATATCTATGACATTATAGCCACTACTATATTCTTTACAAATTTGATGAAGACAAAAATTAACATTAACAATAAATTGCAAATGTTATACTGTTCATAATATATTATGCAGGAATTTCATTCTGACATGTGACATAAAATCAAAGGGTGGTATCCACCAGTGCCTGGGATACATACACTAACTTTTGCCTTCAGTCTTACAGACTAGACGCGTTTCTAATTACTTAGGTCAGAAGCATCTTATTCTTCCACCCCTTTTCAGTGAGGTTGTTTCATACATTTGTAATACGGTTAGACTCTTTTGCCATATTCCACATTCTATCTTGGGGTCCCCACTCCTCTGACCTCTTAAATGACTGTTTAAAATGTGTATATATGTATTCACCATTACATTTATTGCTGCTCTAAAAAAAAAAATATACACCTATTCAACCCCCACTCCTCATCCTGACAAGTATCTTTAACAAAACACATAAAATGAATAGAGGATACCATGCCCTATAGGTTTAAAAGAAAAAGATATATTATAGGAAACTGTTCATAACATGCATGAATCCACCACCTATAAAATGTCACGACTTTATAGATTCTTTCAGAAAAAAAAGTTTGATCTAATTTTTCCATCTGAAAAATCTGAAGCAAGTTCACAGCTGAATTTTCATCTCTATATGTTCTGAATAGAGTTATTTGAAAATTATTTAACAGTGCATTTGTCACTGCAACAATTATTTGGAGAATCTTGTAGGTACAGAAGTAGCACAGCAAGGTGATAATTCACATGCATCACCTGGAAGCCAAACAGCAGTACTAGCTTATATTTATTCTTAGGGGTCTCCAATGTTAAGAAGTTTTAAAAACCATGCAGTTAGGCAAAAAGGAGTAAGAGAGGAAGAGGAGTTTAATTAGGATTTCTTCACATGGCTTCCCTCACATAGGATTAATAGATCATGGGACTGGAAATCCCCATATGAGAGAATTATTGTTCACAACTATGCATTAGGATTAGAGTATTTCAAAGTGATACCATAGAGATATGAAAGGCAGGAAAACCAGGAAACATAAGATTTAACATTTTCTTACTTTACTCAAGTAGAGCCTAAGGTTATGTAGTAGTTTAAAGAGGCAGAAATTGAAAAAATACTTTGCTATCCACAAACCTAATTTTGCAAAACAATGTGATATCACACTAAGGTAAGGTGATTTAAGTTTTAATATTTACTTATTACAATTTAAGTACAATGCTTTGACTCATTAAGACAAATGAGAAGCTTATGCTGGCATACATTTTCAGTTCGGTTTACATATTATGGTAAAGGTACCATGGTAGATTAATCTATAGCCTTGTAGCTTAAAAAAAATCTTTGTCACTTTTACATTAAAACAGAATATTTAATATTTGAAAAAACATGTGTTGAACAATAGATCTCCTGTCCTGAAACTTATATAGAAACTATACTTGCATTTGAGAGGCATGTATGTTATCATGGCTAACGGATAAAGTAATCTAAACAAATACCTATGACAGTATAGCCACCTATCTTTTTTTACAAATTTTATAAAGATAAAAATTAACATTAACAATTGATTGCAAATGTTTACTACTCAAAAGATATAATGTTGGAACTTTGTTCTTATATGCATAGAAAAATTAACTGAATATTAGTTATTGTAATAGCGTATCCGTTTGTGTCTGTGGCAATTTATAAATATAAAACTTCAAAGACTAAGACATAACATTATTCAATCAAAATCATTTCTTAGAGCTAGTATTTTTTCCATCACTGCACTCAGTAAGCTAGAGCACTCCACCAATCCCAAGAGCAACCAGCATGCAGGAGATTTGGTTTCAAACCAAAGATTACACTACCTTCAGTGCACTCCACTGCCTCATCTGTTCTTCCTTGTTTCAGAGAAAACAAATTTGAATATATTGTAATTCATGATCTTAGGAAGGGAAGCCATTAAGCAGAGAGAAAAATATCATAGAAATATGCTGGCAGCACACGCATCGACATCTCCTACTAGTAACAACATAACTATAAATGTATTAAGCTTAGATAGAACGAACTCCCAAATTATGCAGTACTTAATGGGGATTATTGGTTAATAGTCATTCTTTCCTTTATATGTTTGTGATGTTTCCATTTTAAAATGTTTTATTAAAAATCTTTTTCCACTAAACCAAGTTTTTTGTAGTTAAAGCTTTAAAGAATACATTTTTGCCATAAATGTTTAAAATAAACTGTAAGATTCAAAAATAACTAAAATGATCTAAATAAAATAGCTTTTTTTCTGGTTCTTTCTGTTCTTTGTATGTGAACCTCAGTTATGAATTTAGTATGCATTCTCTCAAATTTCTACATAAACAATATAACTTCTGATACTTAACACGCCATTAAACAGTATGGTATAAAAAGTAGTAGAATTCCTTTGCTTAAACGTTTCAGTTTATGGAGCTTATATTATATCCCACTTATCAAAATACTGAGGAATACTGCTTACCTATGATGACTTCTACCTTCTTGCTGTCTTGACTCTCTCGATCATTATATACATGACACCAATAGGTTCCTTGATGTTCCAAATCCACATAAGGCACCTATATCAATATCAGAACATATTTCCTCTTCAATTTTAATTTAAATTGGCTCAAAGAAAAAGTCATTTTGTTTTTAACAAAAAAACCTCCAAAACATAACATTTCAGAAGGCTTTAGACATTCTCAAATTATCTCCATTCATGAGGATTATTAGCAAGCAAATGATATAATGATTCCAATAGTGGTGAGTTTGGTGCAATACTACTTGACATTTTACATGCAAGCATGTTGAATTCTAGTACTTTTGACAACATAAGAATCAATTAATATTAAATAACAAGAAACTTAAATAAAAATACTGAAAATATTAAGACACCCCAAAGAAAATGAGTTTTAATGTTCACTTAAATTTCAATTGTACCATTTGTTTTATATATTAACCCCCCCAAATAACCAAAAAATCAACTTCTTACCATGTATACCTTTTTTGTCTCATGTGCTAATGGTAATTCATTTTTGAACCACTGGTAGTGAGGAATAGGGCTTCCAATAGCAAAACACTGTAAAACCAAAGTGCTGCCTGGCAACAACTTTTGGGCCTTTGGTTCAACACAGATTTGCAACTTGGATTCAGAGATGCCATCCAAACTTCCTTAAAGTAAAAGAAAAAATAAAATCTCTAGGTTAAAAATAAAGCAAAGTTTTTCATGATTTAAAAAAAAAATGTGTCCAAGTTTACCCTTCATATTTTACAATCTTTTGTAATATCTACCAAACTATGTTTCATGACACTGTAACACTCCCAGAAATATTGAGAGATGTTATGCGGATAAAAGAATGCTGTGAACAAATAAATTCAGAAAATTCTGGGTTAAACACATTTCTTTATTGCAGGACTTCTCAAAGCTTTCAAAGTATTATTATGCATTGTGAATTAAAGAGGGGAATGTAGGTCAAGTGTTTTCCAAATGTGTCTGACCTGCAGAACCTTTTTGGTGGGGGCAGACAACTTATTAACATCTTGAGTGATGTTCATCTTCAACATGTAAAACTTTTAGGTTCTGCTCTTTAACTCACCGAAATAAGGTGAGGTAAAACAACTCTAGTTGTTGTCACTAACTAAATATGGATGCATCTCTTCCCAGTGAAATTTTTTCATCAGAGATTACTCATTAAACACTCACTTATTACTCTGTTAAGTCCTTGAGAGCAGAGGGCTCATCAATTTTACATAATACCAAGTCTACATCATGAAACTCAGTGTCTAACACATTGCAGGTGACCAATATTTCTTCAATGAGTATGATTTTATTTACATATTAAAGTTTCTTACATGCACAGAAATAGTCTAGAAAGATATAAATATCCATCTCAAATAATCATGATTATTTCCAGAGACTGTGCCCCACTTCCACACGGACACCTTACCTGGGCTTCGGTATCCTGCTCTGAGCCATCACAACCCCCCTCACCCCCGTGAATGCCTACTCTGCTTGGCCACACCTAATGCCTTTAGAGCTGAATGGGTGAGGAAGAGTAAGCTAGCTGAATACTACACATTTTCAAAGGCAGAGTATGAGTTGGCATTAGGGTGACCAATGGTCTCAGTGTGCCTAGGACTGAAGGGTTGGTTATCCTAGTTGCCATGACTGCTTAGATTTTCAGAAAGCCCTAGCCACAAAGAAATTCTGCTCCACTCCCCGGCTCCTTCCCGTGGGCCGTGACCTAGTGCTCTTGCAGAAGACTGAGGCAGAGGAGAGCTGAAAAGAGCCCCTCTGAGGTGCAGGTGCACAAGGCCTGCTGAAGGCTCAGGGCAGGGCAGAGGTCTGGGAGAACCCCTCAGAGGAAATCAGGTTCTCGGTGAATACAGTGTCATAGGCTTCCAAGGCTGGCTGGAGGAAGTTCAATACTAGTTCAATACTAGTTATTGAACTAAAAAGATGGAGGACAATGAGTAGCAAAGCAGTTTGATGAAATGTTCTGTTGTAGTAAATGATACACTATATGCCCTGTAGTGTCAACATCAACTCTAGAGTTCTCATCTTGTGACACAAGTTTTTAGGAGTAATACAAGTTTGGAGAAAAATATACATCACAGAAAGGAACTGAAAAGTGAACAGCAAGACTACATTCGGTAAGGTTTTCTTCTCCAAAACCAGAGACCATAACTAACTGACCTCTACTTGACTTACAGCCTAATTATAGAACACATGACTATCAGGTCTTAAATGCCGTGTTTATCTACTGATCTATGTTTTACATGGCAGTATAGTCATTCTTCAGTATCTGTGGGGGTATTGGTTCCAGGACACCCCCCATCGGCAAATACCAAAATCCATGGGTGCTCAATGATGTAGTATTTGCATATAATCTATGTATATCCTCCTAGATATGTTAAAGTACTTCTAGATCTAGATTACTTATAATACCTAGAACAATGTAAACGCTAGGTAAACAGTTGCTACACTCTACTGTTTTTTTATTTGTATTTTTTTTTATTGCTGGATTGGTAGTTTTTATTGTTTTTTTTTTTTTCCCTCTGAATATTTTCAATCCACGGTTGGTTGAATCTGCGGATGTGGAACCCACAGATATGGAGGACTGACCATATTCAGCAGTCTTAAGTAACTTTAAGAAGTAGTGGTTTTTCCATGATGTTAGTTTCATAATCTGTTTCTAAATAAGACAAGTCTTGGATATTGAAAACCCTTCAGATATTTAGATAGCCTAGGTTTGTGTTTTAAATGCAAAAATATTAAATGTTTTTGATGGAAATATTTCCATCTTTGCCTTGTTAAACAGAATTCACCCTAGGTTCTTCATTCAGTCACCTACTGAGAGCCTATTTGTTGTTAAGCATTTGGTTTTACAAAAGATTATTAACACCCAGATTTTCCCTGCAGGAGTTTAGTCTAATAGGCAGACAGGCCTGACAATAATAACTAAAATGTAATAGAATTATGTTCAGAAGGTTAATTTTGGGGGGGAAGAAGGTGGTACCAAGTAAGACTTTGAAGAAGTCTGCTTTCTATTGCAATAATCTTTCCTTCCTGATCATTCTGTAAGTAATTTGGGATCAAGGGCTCTCTCTTATGCATAGTTTAGAACAGCTTTAACACCTACGGCCAGTGCTGTGTGCCTCATGAAGTTGTTCATTGAACTGCATAACTGATGAGTGACTACTATGTGCCAGGTTTTGCTCGGAGAACTAGGAAAAGAAAAGGGAACGATAAGCTACTCCTTACCCCTACACAGTTCAAATGCTAGGCAAATAAATAATTTCCTTTTCTTTTAATATCTTTTTCTTTTTGATTTTTTAAATTTTTAAATTTTAATTTATAAATATACAACATAGTTGATTTTTTGTGTCCCTTTACCAATTCCGTAATGGGGAGAAACTGAGCTTGGGCACAGATGCCATGTGTAAAGGGCAGGGTAGTGCCATGAAAGAAGGTGAGTTTGGAGAGGTCAGCAGCAGAGACCAGACTGAGGAGGTTCTGTTACCCTAAGGGATCTGCACATACCTACATATACATGCATGGAGAAAGACAATCAAAGCCCATGGGACCAAGTCTTAACAAATGTTGACATTAGACTGATGAATGAAGTATATATGTGAGCTTTTGGTACTGTTTTTGATACTTTAAAATTATTTAAAAGTAAACATTTAAAAAACCAAATAAAATGAGGCAATCCCCATCCCAACGTTAACTTCTTTTATCACTTACTTCGGAAGCTTTCTGCTACTTCTGTGACATCACAAACATCCAGCTGTGACCACTGGCTGAATTCAAAGGTGAAATTATTATTAACTCGACAGACATAAAAGCCTGCGTCTTTTACATGCACTGTGTTAAAAATAAGTTCTGATGCATTCCCATATGGAATCTGTAAAAGAATCAATAAGAGACTATAAGTGAATGACAAATATACTATGCAAAATCTATGAGCTCAGTATGGAGTTTTGAAAGTGTGTCCTTTTTTTTTTTCAAGTTCTAAAATATTTGTTATTTATAAAACAAAAATAACATTTTGAGTTACTTAGTATTGAAGTATTAGAAATCCACAGTCTTTTACAAAGTCTTTAACCAGAGAGTTAAAATGTTCCCAAAATATTTTCCAGAAGATCTGCTGTGTCATTTACAACAGTTCAGTTGTTTAGTATCAGAAGGATCTGCACCTGCAACATTTGTGAGTTAAGTAGCCATACAACGAGGCAAATACCCCAGTGGCATGGAGAGAACACAGAGTTAGACCTGGCTATTACTTTCAGTTCTGACTAAATGAGCTGTGAATACAAGGGCAAGTTATTTTACCTCAAGACTCCACTTTCTCACATGCAAAAAATTTTAAGAGGGCATCACCTTAACCAAACAATATCCAACTTCTTTCAGGGGGGCGGGTGGAGAAAGCCTGTGTAAAGGGTATCAGTGATGGAAGGGAAAGGCCACCCAAGGTTTCCCAAGCTCTTCTCATGGGCTTCTGTCACCACAACAGGTTCTTTTACTTCTGCTACTCCCAGCAATTCATCAGCTCCATCCAACTCTGGCACATTGCCCAGGGCTTGACTCAAGTGCCTCAACATACCATAATAGCTCCCTTGCAAAGTACTTCAACTAGCTCAACCCTCTCCCTCTCCAAACCCCAGCCAACTGAACCCAACTATCCTCCCTCTCAGGAACTGCACCAGGGCAGGAGCATTTCACTGAAGATGTGACAGCTGGGATGACAGGCTGCACTTAGTACTGCCTGACGATCCTGCAGTGTCACCCTACTAAGTCTGCTTTCCTACTCCACTATTCCTGTATACTCTGTCCTCAAACCTCCTGCAATCCTTCTTCCCTCAAGCAATGACTTCACATAGAAATTCTCTCCTTTTCCTGCCACAAAATCACACACCTATCCGTGTCCATACCTATTTATAAGTGCCTTCCTCTCTTTTGTTAAAAGGGAAGATGCATCTTCCTAACAAAGGCAAGGGGCTAAAGATCTGTGGAAACCCACTCAGAACCCCAGACGTGGTAGGAAGATTACATTAAACTGAAGGCACACGGGTTTCAACAGACGCAGAAAGAAGTCTTCCTGAGCTTCCCTTATCTGATTAAAAGCAGAAACTTCTGGGAAATGAGGCTGCTATAAATTCCCTCTTGGGGCAGTTTCTACTCCCAGTAAGGAGACCAAGAGTAAACCTACCATAAATCCTCTCTCTGGGGAGTTTTATGACTGCAAAGAAGAGGAAGGACATGGGCACCAGCATGGACAAACATTGTCACAAACTTTCCGCTCGCTCCTTGTTCTTCTGGAAACCCTTTTGTCTTTCCTGAAGAAACCTATTTGTTCTTTCCATACAGCCTTCTCGCCCCCCTCTCTTTTCCCTACTAAGTTAAGTATATAAGTCTTTAATTTTATCACTTAGCAAGCTACTCCTTTTGTAAGCTCTTGTATGCCTATGAATACATTTTTTTTCTCCTATTAATCGGAGGTTAATTCACAGGCTCCCAGTCTTTGAACCTAAGAGAGTAAAGTTTTTCTTCCCCAACAATCCCATCTTCTCTGACCTTGCTCCTGCAATTTTCCCTCTCTCTGCTTTAGCATCTATTTCTCCCTTTTATTGTATCCCTCTCAAAACATACTCTAGTACCTTCTACCTTAAATAAACAAAAACACCAAACAAACCTCCCTTCATCCCACACCCCTCTCAGCAGCACTGAAGAAGCTGGCTACCCCATTCCTCTTTCCTTTTTAGACTTTCATACCATCCTCTCCTGGTTTTCTTTCTATCTCTCTCGCATATTCTTCTTAGTCACCTTATTGAAAATCTTTTCCTCCTCCACTACGTAGATCTCAATGTTGTCTCTCCAGATCTCCAAATGCCTAGCTGATTCACTTGGATGTGTAACAGGCATTTCAAACTTAATATGTCTGAAGTCAAACACTTGATTTTTCTCCCTGAATCTATTCCTCTCCAATCTTCCACACCTCAGCATATAACATGTCCCAGATGCTCAAGTGAAAAACCAAGGGGTCATCCTCGAGTTCTCCTCCTTCTTCCTCAGGCTCCACAGCTAATCCACCAGTTTGGTTAACTCTGCTTCTAAAATCCATACTGAATCGTGCGTTGTGACCCACCTCCACCGCCCAGCCATAGTCCCACCACTACTACTTCTGGCCGGGAGCAGGTCTTCTTGCATTTGCTTACCGTTGTCTCTCCCCACTGGCGTGTAAGCTCCCTGAGGGCAGGGACCTGTGGGTCACCATGCAACACCGAGCCTTAGGACATGGCCTGGCACAAAACAGGCCCTCCATGAATACTTGTTAAATAAATATCTCTTAAAATAGAACTGACAACATAAGAGAGGTTTGACAAAACTTGACTAAAGAGTTTTAAAATGCACTACAACTGTTCGAATCTAAGTTGTACTCCCCATCACCTTACATTTCTCCCTTTCTCCCGTCAGGACATATTTTACAAATAATATAATGAATGTAGTAAGTTTCTTCCACTATTTCTCCTTCCAAAGTTGTTTATTACAATGAAAGCAACTTTGCAATTGGGAAAATATGGTAAAAACATCTTTATCTACTGTCTTGTCTAGACACATAGAACATCCCATCAATTCTCACAAGCCGAGGATAGGAATTCACATGCTAACAGTGGGAGTGGGGGTTCCAACCACCTGTCGAGCACCAAAGCCTGTGTGCAGTCTCTTTACTACGTTCTGTGCCTGCTCTCCCTTACCTCCGTGTAAGGGATGGAAATCAAAATTGTATACAACCACACATTTCTTCTATGGCATAAGGTGATTACACTGAAGGAAAGATCATAATCTCAGAACAACTTTTATTTAGTTTCAGATTTGCAAATGGAGACCTTAGCATTAAGTTTAGAAGAAAGCCTAATTGCCACGACTAACAGGTTGAAAAGATAAAAATTACCTCTTTATTCATTTTGAACCATTGATATTGTACAAAAGGATGTCCAGTTGCCCGGCAAGAGAGTTTCACAAATTGTCCAGCTAAGACTGCCTTTGATTCTGGGTTTACAATGATCTTTATTCCTTTAAAAAAAAGAGAGAGAAAAATTAAATAAAATCATACAAAAGGGGTTTTCCTTGTTTATATATCTAAACCAAAAGAAAGAAAGAAATATTTTGGAAATAACCTGCATACTTATCTTTGTCATAAATCACCCATTCACATCTTCTTCCCCATCAGATTATGTTTGTGAATTGCAGGCTTTGTAAAACCATGAGGAAGGAAACTTACCTGTAGAAGACTTTGATCTATTGTACTTCCCCATGATAGGGGAAGAAAATTATTTGCCATATTTCTTCAATGCTTAGAAACATTTTTTTCCACATTCTAACACTTCTGAAATCAGGATGCACCTTATAACATATGCCTGCCAGGCAGTAGTCATAATGTAGGTCTCAGTGCCAGCTCATACAAATACTTAGTCATAAATGCTCACGTGGCCAGCACTTCTACTGAGGTAGGTACACTGTTTGTAACACAAGTGTTAAGTTTAAATGCCTCCTAGAGTCGGAATGTGTCCCCCAGAATTCATGTGTTGGAAACTTAATCCTCAATGCAACAGTGTTGAGAGATGGGACCTAACAGGAGGTATTTAGGTCATGAGGGCTCTATAATTAGGGTTTGCGGGGGGTAGGTGCACTCTCCCTTCTGCTCTTCTGCCATGTAAGAACGTGCAACATTTGTCCCTGGTTGCCTTCAGCCTTGTGCCATGTGAGGACACAGCAAGACGGCCCTCATGAGATACCGGCACCTTGACCTTGGACTTCCAGCCTCCAGAACTGTGAGAAATAAATTTGTGTTCTTTGTAAATTACTCAGTCTGTGGTATTTTGTTACAGCAGTATGAAACAGACTAAGACGCGGTCACTGAAAATGTCTTCAAATGATTTTACTATGATTTATGTTAAAGTGAAAATTATTTTGGAAGCAGAAAGGCACAGAAACAGAGAAGAGGGATGTAAATTTGATACTTGTGATGCAAACATTTCTGATTTGAGGAATGTCTACCAGCATTAAAACTTGGAAAACTTCTGACTGGGGTTTGGAAGAGAACCCTGGAGTAAATCACAGAACACCCCCACTCCCCTCTCCTGCCTCTCACGCACTCATGCTGGGGAAGTGCACGCCATGTCAGGAGGACACTCAGGCAGCACCTCAGTGAGGCCCCAGGGATGAGGAAAGACACTCAGGCCTCCTGCCAACAGCCTGGGAGGAAATGAGGTCTTCTGACCACAGCTGTGTGAATGAGCCATCTGAGAAGAGGATTTTCCGCCCTGTCAAACTTTCAGATGACTGCAGCCCTGGCCGATGGCTTCACTGCCACCTCATGAGACACCCTGAGCCCGCACCACCCAGCTACACCACTCCAGAATTCCTATCCTTAGAAACCAGGTGAGATAATACATGGTGGTTGCTCTAAGCTCACAGTTTTGGGGTAATTTATCATACAGCAATAGAAAACTGGCATAAAAGAAACCAAAGTTAGGAAATTTTATTTTCCAAGGTAATAATACACAAAACTGGGTTAGTTGGCTTTCAGGAAAGGAGGAAAAGTCATTAAATTTATAAAACTTAGTTTTTCACTTACTTTTATTTTCTTTCTTTTCTATCCTGAATGTGATTTCATAATAGTGCCTTTTTTCCCTAAGACCCACCAATCCAAAGGAACAAAACAAGATTACAAATACAGGTGGTCACAACTTATGATGGTTCGACTTGAGATTTTTCAACCTTACAATGGTGTGAAAGTGAAGCATGTTCAGTAGATACCATACTTTGAGAGCCCACTCAACCATTCTGTTTTTCACTTTCAGAACAGCGTTCGAAAAAATTACATGAAACATTCAACACTTTATTATAAATTAGGCTTTGTGTTGAATGATTCTGCCCAACTGTAGGTTAATGTAAGTGTTCTGAGCGTGTCTGAGATAGGCTAGGCTAAGCTGTGATGTTTGGCCAGTTAGTTATATTAAATGCATTAACAACTCATGATATTTACAACTTATGATGCACTTATCGAGATGTAGCCCCATTGTAAATTAAGGAGCATCTGTAAAGATGAGATAGTGTAAATAATAGCAATCTTAGTATACATCTAAAGTACTAAATTTTCTAGGAAAAAAAAGTATAGAAGTACATATGTAAAACCCATGCCAGAAAGATATCAAATAAAACCACAATAAACATTTATTACATTCCGAGCACATTTGAGGGTCTGAAGAAACCCTAGAAAATCTTAAGTATATATTGGAGAGCCTCTCTAAAATTAATTTAAAACTCTTATCAAGAGATAGCTTATGTATTAATTACTCTTTTATGTTGAGGTCAAGTTAGCACAGGATAGATGAAGTTCAGAATTTTTCTGAATTCTGTGATACATGTTGGTAGGAAAGGTGGAAAATGGGATGAGCACTCTAGCTGAAATCAGCAAATTCACAACACTGTTTTTTTTTTTTTTTCCTTTTTGTCTTTTTTCGTGTCTGGCAATGGATCGCAACCCTCAGTGTTGCGCCCGTACCGGACCGGGACCGGCAACGGGATCGCAACCCTCGGTGTCGCGCCCGCACCTCGCTCAGCCAGTGAGCGGGAACCGGTCTGTATGTGGGATCCAAACCCTCGGCGGGAGCGCCTCTGCGCTCCCAAGTGGCGCCCCGTAGCAGCGCCCCCCC